CCTGAGCTTGGAGGAGAAAGCCCTTCGTTTTCAAGGCAACAGAGTACACGTGATGGCTGGAGAAATCCAGTGCCTTACCCTTTTTCTTTGTATTCAGCTGTATTACAGAGTTGTTACACAACGTATACTAAGACTCTAGTAGATGCTGGACTGCATACTTATACTCTATCATTCCCAAAATGGGGACTTTTAGTTTATAAGCAGAGGTATTACCTGAAGTGTGCAGAGGTAACGCTTCACTGGACATATTGCATGTCTCCTGTTCGTCTATGTCCTGCTGTGACTTGCTCCCTTCTACAGTCCTTCAGAAGTGGCATTTCTCAAGACTCTGAAATGCCTCTTCCCCCCTAACTGCTACCACTCGCTCTGAGCTTCCTTGCCAACTGCCCGTTTCGTTTATTCGAAGGAGAATCACGATTTCCACACTGGTCAGTAACACAGTAAGAAAGTTGCTTTAGGAGTCAGGCCAGCTGCGAGTAATTATTTACAAAAATTCTCTACTTACAAGCCTACCAATATTCAAGTGATACATTTCAAATGTAAAAATCAGCAGGTTATAGCTTAGAGAAGCTACTGCATCTTGTGCAAGGTAGTCCGCCAGCCGTAGCTATCTGCTGCTGACTGCAAAAATGAAACACATTTGGGTATACTAAAAACTGTGCTGTGTATTTACTGCATTTTCAGGGGGCACAGAGTGTCACTGTAGCGTGTTAAAGTTCTGAAAAGCCCATTTCACTGTAACTTTTTGTGGCTACCACTTTCCTCTTGTCAACGCAATACTGATATGCAGTATTCTACTGTTAGAAAGAAAGAAATCTCGGGTAAATTGAAGATAGGCAAAAATTACACAGGTGATGTTCTTAGACCTTCTTGCTGCAAATCAGCTTTGAAGAAACCATCTCGACAGCCAAGCAGCAATGTCTCTGTGATTTTGTAAACTGCCTTTGATTTTGCTCTCCCTGACGAGGTGGGCTCTGTACAGCAATAGACGCTTTTTAATAACTTACAGTGAACATCGAAGACAACTGGTTCAGACTGTATTGTTTTCTGGCCAGATGGTCCATAATATGTCACAATGCAAGAAAACTTGGCATTTGCATCTTCCTTTGTTGGCATGTACTGAAGAGATGATGTCATGGTGAAGAGTCCAGTCGATCTGTCTACAATCTTTTGCAAATTTATGACCGCAACTGAAAAGGAAATGCTGGTTCAGTGTCACACAGACAGATTTTGCAACCCTTTTCATCCATTTTGTTCCCTGCTTTTTATTTGTTATTAGGCTGCAAACATGCAAGCAACGTGACAAATTACCCAAGAGACTGTACAAACAGTTTTCCTCTAATATTGCCACTGATGTATACCCGGAACGTTTTATCAACAACATACTCCTAACATACTGTACATTTTAAATCAAATCAAAACAAAAAACTAATTGCAAACTGCTGGGATTTTCTCAATACAAATCTTAGCTTGATTTGTAAGACAGAGAGAAGGCCTCAAAAATGCTGGCAAACCCAATTTTTAGGATTGTATTTATAACTGAATTCTGTAGGCATTTCTCTTATTTTATGGAAGGTAAAAGTACTGTTCTTAAATATCCTGGAAAATAAACACCTTTATAAGGAGATGATGATCTACATGGTCCAAAACACAATATTGGAGAGATGTAAAACTGAGACAGTTAATACCATATAAGAAGTTTGAAATTAGATACAGGTTTCCACTAGCTACACAGGCTCAAGAACGGCTTTGCAATAGCATTAGCAAAGGCAACTCTCCTCCCCATGATGTAGTTTTAAATCTGGAACTGAGAGAGATTATATAGTGTAGCTTGGGTGCTCCAAAAGGCCTAAAAGTTTCCTTCCAGCTTGATCTTTCCATATGAGTAGTTTTCCTCAAAGGAACAATACATTAGAATAAACCAAAGCAATTCTTATAAACAGAGTTTTTCATGCTTACACCCATCTGTGGATTCAAGGACATTGGCCATTATTGAAACGTACCTTCTTCCACAGGCTGCAAAACTCTCCCATTTTTGTACCACGTAACATTGCCTTCAGGATAACCATCCCTTGCAACACACTCCCCAAGCTGCAAAACAGATAGCAATTAGTCGCTGTTTTCCTCCACTATGTTTTAACACAATTCTGGTTTTGCTTACGCTGCTTTAAGTAAAAATTTCTAGAAAATTCAGATGCCTAACCCCAACCATTTTTCTTAAACAGGACAAATCCTATCAGCAAGGCTTGGAACAAATTTGGAAGGAGGTTTGGTGATGGGTCTAAGGATCATGATGTCCCCTGTTTGCAGAACCAGGCAAGGCTAATAATACAGTAGTGGCATGGGAACTGCTCTGTGCTCAGCTTGGCCCTCTCTGAGCCTCAGGCTACCACCTCTCCCCGTCTCGACTGTAGCTGCCAGGCACAAAACTTTGAGGGAGAATAGCTGCTCTTACCATTTGTAGCTTCTCTGTTTCTAAGAAGTCTGCTTGATGTAAGATTTCTGGTTGAGAGGGTTGTTCTAAAACATAAATAGGATAAAAAGACTAGTGAAGGGAGCACAAAGAGCTGTTTGAAAAACAAAGGGTTACTAAAAGATACATGGACTTTTAGACTAAATAGAATAATCTGACCTCGTAAAGTCTTACCTACATTTTGCCATTAAGAGATGAAAAAGTGTGATGCTTCTACTTCGATATTAGCAAATGGATCGAAAAGGAAAAATCATCACCTTAAAATGCGTCATACCTTCCATAATGAAATCCATGCATTCTGACAAGATATATTCTATCCAGGCAGACCAGCTCAGCGCCTGGGAGGACAGAACCTGATCTGATCTATCTGATTTATATAATACAAATGCTGGAGAAAGGAACCAGTGGTACAGAAACTATAGCAACAGAAAAGCAGCTTTACCATGGATATTACCATAGCTGAGCTGCCACATTATAAAGGAACAAGTTCAACCTAATCATTCTTCTAATGTTTATTTTTTCTTACTGGGATTGTAACATTTAAGAAATTCACATGACAGAGATAAGTGTAATTACTTTAACTGATTCTGAGTTAGTTATGACTCTCTTAAAAAAAATAAAATTTTTCTTCAGTGCCAGTATGTCTTCTTATTTACTTCGATTATGGTAGATGGACCTTTTAGCTTGCCACAGTGGAGGATCTATCAGCATTTCCATCATAAAAGACTACTTTCTAGAGACTATATAACTTGTTTGTTAAAATAGTTTGGCCTGAAGCCCAGAATGCAAATTTTTATCTCCGAAAGAGATAGTTTTCCCCACAATTTTAAAAGAAGAGGGGAAGACTTCGGGGCAAAAAAAAAAAAATCAATGTTTATACAGTTGATAAACGAAGAAGAAAGCCTCTACACCCTTGTTATACTACTTAAATAATCATATATATTATACACTTTTACAGGCTGAAACATTCTTAACCATGCCAGCTTACAGGACCCTTTTCCCAGATCAACCTCCGTATGAAACGATGTATATGTGTCAGTAATCCCAGCCCAAAGTGAACACCACACTATCTTGCCAAAATCTCTATGCACTGATGAAGTTACTAACGTGCAGGTGTACTGCTGCTGTCACAGAGACAGCAAGCCTGCATGTTTCCACAATAATCCGTTCGCTCTGCGTGCGCGTTTGTGAGCACGCAAACGGACAGACATTCTTCGCTTGGATGGCTACGCCAGGATGGAAAAGGAACATCTCAAAAGGGAAAGGAAAGCCAATAAAAGAAGTTATTCACTGGATGTTTTCAAACAACTTCACTTGTGGCAAAAAACAAAAACAAACAAAAGAAACAGTCAAATCTATACACCAAAACCATCACAGTTTCTTCAAAGGGCTAATAAAGATTACTGGGTTTTTTTTAAGGGATGTGCATGTTCACTTCTCTTTTGTTAGTTTTAAAGAAGAAAGGTCAATCTATTTTCTGTAATAACCTGTCAAGGACAAAACACTGTCATGTCCGTTCAAGCAAATGCAGTTTTACAAGATCATTAAGAGGCCTGTTGGTTCAGATGTTCAGGTCCCTTAAACAGGCAGAGCTGGCTGCCTGTCACAGCCACCAGCTATCAAACCACACCACCTCCTCCTACCTCGGTTTGGCTTCCCTTCACCTTTCATCTTCCCCAGGACTGGTTTGAGAAGACCTACGCTGTGCTTTGGAGCCCCCCACAACGCTCATACCAAGGGAGAGGGAAGAGCTCCTGCTCCATGCCCCTGTGTGGCTCTCCCTATTTTGAGTGCTCTGGTGACCAAGCAGGTGCTCCACTGGTGGGGCCACCACCGGCCCTCTCAGAGCAGCCTCTGAAGGGACACGCCGGCGGCCGGATGGATCCCCACAGCCGCAGCACATGCAACCAAGGTAATTCACCGTAAAAGACATCAGTTAGCATTCACTCGCTCAGCGTCTGAAGCGAGAAGAAAGTCCAAACCTGGCAGCAGCACAGCCCACTCTGGTGGGCTTGCAACTTCAGCACACTGCTTATCTCTCGGCCTAAGAGCTTGCCAGAGTATTTTGCAACTCTATGCAGACCCTGTAACTCCCTGCTTGCAAAAGCCTAGCACTGATGTAGCAGGAGAGCGGCTCATGTCCGCTGGGCTGCTCTGCTTTGGAAACTGGCCATTTAATTCCAGAAAAAGAGATGCTGACAGGATCCATCTGGAAAGCTGGTAGAGCTTGTTTGAGTAGTCCAGTGAGTGAGACTAGCAGGTGGTACCTGTGCAATGAGCCATTTCAGCTCGTTAGTTCTGAGTTAATCATGTAGCACAGCTGAGGACATGACAAGCTGCAGTGAAACCCAGCTTCAGGCACGGCTTCTGGGGTACGGCTGAGTTTCAGGTACACAAGACTTCTGGTTTATGAGGGTTCACACTGTGGCCCCCTAGTTCTGAATCTGGGATTCAGTGAGTTAGAAACTCCACTGGTTAAATAAATGAAGCTCGCAGGCTACTCTTAACTCTGTTGTAGATAGAACAAGCAAGAACAAAAAAATGAAACCCCAAAAACCAGACTCCAAGAAGTGAAACGCAAAGAAATATTAAGAGAACTCTAAATAAACTCGTGAACTCAAAATGAAAAACTGCAAAGGTAATTTTTTCTTGCAGTGCTAAGTTGGCCATGTGACATGCGTGGCATCCTCTATTCTTATCTTCCTTAGTCAATAGAAGCTTTCTCCATTAGTATTAATGCATACAATAAAACATACGAGCTGTACTCCATGGCTGAGTTAGCACTGTGTTAATATTTAGTACAGTACACAGTAATTCAAGCAGTTAGCGTTTCGTTTCACCATATACCACTGTCTCATCTACATATTTACTGCTGTGCAATAAGTAAACACGGTAATTCTTTATCATTTCCTTTGAAGTGCTGTGTTTACTATGCGTGCTCTGAGCACACTCCTCCCTGTTGTCATTAATTCGATTGTTCTTGCAGTCAAATTGAAAGCAAAACAAGGAAAAGGAATTAACTGCTGACTCCTAATGTAACTTCGAACTCATTTATGCCACTGACAAACTCCTGCCTCGACAACACTGATGACTCCCTGACACCTTCCCCGAGAGAGGAGTAAGGGTGCCCTTCCAAAACATGAACTCATGTTTTTCAAGCAGAAGTGGGATCTGTTTGAAACTGCTCATCCCTGCAAGCAACGCATCCCCACAAGAGAGGCTTACTTTGACTGTGGAAATCTCCAACTGAAGAGCAACAAAGGCCAAAAAAACCCACACAAACACACGAGGCTGAGGGAGATACCCACTGCAGGCACAGGGCAGCATTTACAAGCGCCTCAGCAGACCTGCACCCCTAAAAAGGCACAAGGGACACCTCCAGAAGCCACGTCCGGGTTTGAGGGATTGCATGCCTGCTCTGAACCGCCAGCAGGAAGAGGTCATGCTTGTCCATGCTCTTGTGCAAAGCTCAGAGCAGGACAGCACCTCAGGGCCCTGGGGTTTGCTCTGTGGATCAGCCTTGCAATTGGGTTGTAGCGGTATCAAACGCTAATAAACTTTGCTGTGATCTAAATGAAAACTGGTC